CACTTTTTCCCACGCACACACACACACGCGCACATACACACACACACACACACACACTCGTTCACACACACACACACACACTCGTTCACACACACACACTCACGCACACACACACACACGCACGCACACACACACACTTGTTCACACACACTCACACACACACACGCACGCACGCACACACACTCGTTCACACACGCAAACACTCACTCACTCACTCACACACACACACACACGGAAACACACAAACGCAAACACACGCTCACACGCACACACACGCATGTAATAATCAGACTGATGGATGTGCTCTGTTCTCGTGTGATCGTGTGTTTGTAGAATGTGATGGTCATTCCGTCTGTTCTGTCTGGTTCCAGGTTTCATTTCCCGGGCCGCTGTGCAGAGACTCTTCCTGCGGCTCTGGCCCGACACGAGTCTGAAATCATCTGACGCTCAGAGCCCTGGATCAACTGCAGCTGAACCTGAATTATATTATTTGTGCTGTTGACGGTTTTCCATGTGCCTTAACTTTCTCAAAGAGTACCATACATAAATCACTGCCAGTGCATGTTCACTGCAGTGCTGTGTTTCTTCAGCTCATCTGCTTGATTAGTGTGGGATAAAGCAACATGATATCCCAGTTTACAAAGAGAAGTGCCTGCAGAGTGTTCATGTGTGCATCATCTTTCCTCTGAAGCGCTGCTAGAGGGCCAGCAGTGACCTCCAGCAGAGTTCGCCTTCATATCAGTCCATCAGTTTCAGCATTACATACTAATGAATAAAAGCGTTTCTCACAGGCTCCGTCAGTGTTGTATCTGTGGCTCCTTCTGCATATTTATAAAATATATAAAACAGCTTTCATTCTCATTAACATTTTTCATATACAAATCAGCATATTATACTGATTTCTGAAGATCATGTGACACTGAAGACTGGAGGAATGATGCTGAAAATACAGCTGCGCATCACAGAAATACATTACAGTTTAACAGAGAAAACACAGAAAACAGCTGTTTTAAATCGCTTCAGATTAAAACACTTCAGATTATGGAACCCTATTCACTGTTAACTATTTGCTTATTAGCATGCATATTACTAGCATATTGGCTGTTTATTAGTACTTATAAAGCACATATCAATGGCTTATTCTGCATGACCATATAAACATTATTACAACTTACTATCAGTAATCAGGAGTTTACTGAGGGAAAACTCTTACTTAACAGTGAAAATGTTTCTCTAATCTAAAGTGTTACCCACTGTTTTTACTGTAGTTATGATCAAATAAATGCAGCATTAATTGGTGAGTAGAAGAGACCCCTTTCAAAAACAATGAAAAACATGACCAACCCCAAACTTTTAAATAGTTCTCCAGCGAGAATTTACAAAAGTACATATATCCCATGTGTCTCAATCAATAATGTGTTCATCTAGTTTGAGTTTTTGTTCATCACACATGTGTTTTCATGTGAAATCATCACGAATGATCAGTTGTCTTTATAGTCACTTTTGTAGATGTCATTCACACAAAGTGTCTCAAATGCTTTTCTCTCATCACTTTATTTTTTAATTTTTATTGATTTAAACTGATGCTGTTTTAAATAAGCAAACAGTGCATGGACGGGATGATGTTAATGACAGCTGAAATGATGTCCTGATGTCCTGCAGACATGTTTTCTTTTGTTTTTGGGGTTCAGTGTGTTTCTTTGCACTGATGCTGTAAATGAGGCTCAGATCTGAGCGCCTCACGTCTGTCAAAGAGGCTTTACTGTCAGAGTAGAGCTTCTGTAGATGCTGCTATTTATAGCAGCCATTAATCTGCCTGTATCTCAATGATTCACTGCAGCACTGGCTGATTTCACACACTCACACACTCACACACACACACACACACACACACACTCACACTCACACAGACACACACACACACACACACACACACTCACACAGACAGACACACACACACACACACACACACACACACACACGTATGACAGTGGAGTGTATCTTTGTGTCTCTGATCGTCCCACACACGCTGACAGTCACAGCAGCCTCTAGTTTCCTCTGAATCACTGACTGAGACTGAAATCAGCCACTGAACACACGTGACCTGCTGTGAAACAATAATGTGCTCTAATGATCATTTATCATAATCAATATGAGTTGCCGACTTGAAAGCTGCTGCAGGATGAGGAACTGGCTTTTGCTCATTAACCCTCTGCTCATCTGGTGGTCAAAATCAACTTTTATACATCTATTTCAATAAAATGAATGGATATATTTTAGGGAGATTTGAGATCGGTCTGTAATTAATTCTCTAGGATCAAGTTGTGTTTTTTTAATGAGAGGCTTAATAACAGTCCATTTGAAGGTTTTGGGGACATATCCTAAAGACAATGATGAATTAATAATAGTCAGAAGAGGATCTATGACTTCTGGAAGCACCTCTTTTAGGAGCTTAGATGGAATAGGGTCTAACATACAGGTTGTTGGTTTAGATGATTGAAGGACAGCACTGAGAATGATATGGACTGTGATTTAACCATTTCATCGACCTGCATGGACTGTACTGTTATCCTGTCAAGATTCATATTGCCCCGCCGCTGCTGGAAGCTTGAAGCCCTTCGCCGTCTCTGGGGATGTCCTGCCATGACGTCAAGCCTCAGGTCATGCAACCCCCAGAAGCGTGACCTTCAACCTCTGTTCACTTTGCTCCATCTCAGCCTATCTTATCTGTCGGCTCTGCCTTGGCTCCTCCCACCTTCGGCTCCTCCAAAGATCCTCGGCCTTGCGGTTTCACTGGGTTCCCTTGTCCCACCGGCTCTCCTTTGGTCAGTCGTCACTGTCCGCTGTCTGCTGTCCTCAGGTACTCTAGTTCTGCCTCAGACACTCATCATTGGGGTCCCCTTGAAACATTTCCATTGTGGTCTGTGCTACTTGCGACGCTTTTCTGTGTTTGGTCACGTTGTGTGTATTTGCAGTATGTTTCTGTATTTGGTTGTGTTGCGAGTATTTGCAGCACATGTGTTAACAAACAATGTTTTGTTAATTTGGTGGTGCTTTTTCTATTTGCATGTGTTTTCTTAAGTTGCAGCGTGTTGAGGCCACCATATCTTCTTCTGTTTTCCGTGACGAGTATCTTGAAGTAAGTTCTGCATTCCAGGTCTATCCTCACAAATTCAAAACACTTGAAATACAGCACACGTCACATGGACTAACGCTCTGATTCTTCATGATCCTTGCTGTGTTTGTGCTTGCTGGAGGTCAGCAGTCACTGTCACATCATGGAAAAGAGCTGTGGAGATTCTTTAGATCCGTTCATGTTACCTTCCACAGAAGAACAATGCACAGGGTTTGGAATGAATAAATGATGACAGGAATTTCATTTTGGCGTGAAGTATTATTTAGCTGTACACATCTGTCATATGTGAATGCTGACCCGTCCATCAGGACCGCTGTGGTTTCTGCCGTGCGGTCGTTCAAGCTGAAGCTCTCGAGGGAATCACTAATCCTCAGCTGTTCAGAGGAAACCTCACAAATGATTTAGAGTAAAGCTCAGGCTATTTTTAGCCTGTGTGAGCTCTTCAGTGTGTCAGTGTTTGCAGCGGATAGCAAAGAAATAAAGCTGCAGAAACACATCCACATGAACTCATGTGAACCACACTGACTGCATATCACTGCTGAACGAGCAGTTCTCACGATTCTGTTTCAACTGTTCAATGTTTCCATTCTTAGCCTACGCTTCATCTGTTTGTTCAAGGATTTTTCTTATTTGTTCAGTTTTAGAATAACAAAATAAATACTTACAATAAATGCATGTACAAAAATCTTTTAATGGCCTTCCTTTATATCAACTGTCTCGTGTTTTTATGATTTACTTACATTTAAAAATACCTGGCTGAATGTGAATAAATATATACAATAAAGTAGCATAACTAAAGACAAATACTAGCTTTAATAACCATTTGTTTTGTTCACTAAAAAAGTATTTTTGCCAATAAAGCAAGAGTAAGTTGTAAACAGAGGTGAGGACACAAAACCTCAAACCAGGGATATTATAGTTAACTAAAACCATTTTAAAAAATTACTTTAAAAAAATAAAAACATATTTCTCATTTTCATTTCGTTTAACTTGATGTACTAAAATAACTCAAACTGATATAAAAATGAATAAAAACTATATAGACATATTCAAAAACAACAAAATGTAATGATGCAGAGAGTGAGAATCAGTTGCACGCATGTTTTAATAACAGGTCTAAACACAGATAGTTCAGGCTGAGAGACGAGCAAAAACTCCACAAGAGCACAAAGGAGAAAAACAAGAACATCCGAGATCCTCGAGTGAAACAAGCACACGACAACTGAAAACAAGCACTGGCAAAACATGACTGAAACACAAGGGCTTATACACACAGAGAACTGATTACAGGCGTGTCTAAGCACAGGAACCATAGTAACTAACAGCACAAGAGAAACAGAAACCAAACACAGGAAAGAAGCATGAATCAAAGGAAACTAAGAATACATTTCAACATAAAAGTCCTTACAAAACACCCAGACACTGAACAGGCATCAAGACACAAATGACAAAAACACACAACAAACTTGCTAAAACATTAACTAAAATTAAAAGGAAAAAAAAAATATATATATATATAAAAATCGAATTCAAAATATCAACCAAAACCTCAGTATCTCAATGATACTAAAGTAACAATAACGGTCCTGTTCAGTCCCATGATGAGGAAAAACATACTTTTTGTCCTCTGAACATCTGATGTCTTTTGTGTTTTGCTTTGAATTACAGGTGCACTGAATCTTTCTAAACTCGTGAGAAAGTCTTGAAACTGTTCAAGCATTCAGACAGATAATAATTGTGATAGTTGTAATTATTGATTTGATTTGCATGCTAGATCACTGAGAAAACCCTGCAGACGTGAGATGATCAGATGTGATAATGCATGTGATCATTTTGGCTGGATTAAGCCTTTAGTGGTGATTTATATCTCTGTGACGGACGGAGAGCCACATGTTCACCTTTATCTGAAGACACCTGAAAAAAGTCAAGCAACCGTGTCATTTATCTGAAGCGCTTTTTCATATAGATCTTATAAAAAAAATCATGGTTTTCCGTTTAAACCTGTTTGGTCCAGTTTGGCTAAAAGCAAATAACACTCACATTGAAAAATAAAAATGAAAAAAACTGTTTTGTTTAAAAAGGATTATCCTGAATGTACTCAAATTATTGCAGTATGTATTTATTTTTTTATATGTAACAGTACATAACAGAAAAAAATACATCACAAAAATATGAATGTCTTTGAAGTTTGACTTTATTAATAGTAAACTAAATTAAAC